GAAGAGGAACATGGCCGTAGACAGAGCTTGGGAATACGTGTTCTAGAAAAGACTTAGGGAGGACATTATTCTTGGTTTCAAACATATCAATGGTTGCCACATGCAAGAGGCTTTAGTTTTGCGCTTCTGTGGCTTTCCGTGGATCTGCAGGTAAAAGCTTCAGGAACTGGGATTTTGTCTCCATATAAGGACAATTAGAGGGTCTGAAGAAGAAAGGACTGCCTGAGGCCAGGCGATGTGTTGGCTCATCCTGGCACCATTTAGAGGCTCACCTGAACCTCAGAACTTCGTAGAGAGGAGAAGACAAATCTCATTTCCTGCTCTTTTGAACTCTTGGAGAGCCAGTTACAGCTGATTCAGGAAAGGGAAAAGTAAATGGCCAGTAAATACATGGGAAAAATGTAACTTTGCTAGTCGTTAAATAAAAATTCAAACAGCAAAAAGCACTAGTTTTTGCCTGTTAGCAAAAATTAAAGAGAAAAATGAATTCCCACACTGGTAAGGGTGCTATAAAATGGGTGATTCCTTGCATCGCTGTTGGCACAGATACCTTTTGGAAAGCCTGAGTGTGAAGAGCTGTAACATTGATAATACTTTCGATCCAATAGTCAAATAGGCTATTGAACCAGAAGAGGAGTTGAAAATATGCAAATGTTCACATGATTGATGTTCAGTGTGGAATTATTTATAACAGAGAGAGACTGGAAACAATTTAAACAACGGAAGAGTAACTGCTGGAGAGGACAGGCCACCACTCAATGGAACGTTATGTGTCATCTTAAAAGATAGTCACTTTCACTGTAGCCATATAGACAATGCACAGGACATAAGGCTACGTGTGTGTAAGTGAGGGATTGCCAACCACGAAAGTCTATAGCTGTGATGACTATAATCACAGACAGTAGAAGGAAATTTCCTCTTTCTTCTTATGTCCAGACCTGGGTCATGCTGGGAAGATCACTTCAACTTTGGGATTCAATGGTCCCTACTGTCCCTTCCAGTTTTAGGATGTGAATAGAATGACCCATTTAATAAACTGTATCCCAGAGGGATTAAGAAACAGCCACTGTCTTATTTTCAGACTAGAGGCCCGGTGCATGAAATTCGTGCACGGGAGGGGGTGTCCCTCAGCCCGGCCTGCACCCTCTCCAATCTGGGACCCCTTGGGGGATGTCCAACTGCCGGTTTAGGCCCGTTCATTGGGCCTAAACCAGCAGTTGGACAGCCCTCTCACAATTCGGGACTGCTGGCTCCTAACTGCTCGCCTGCCTGCCAGCCTGATCGCCCCCTAACTGCTCCCCTACCGGCCTGATTGACACCTAACTGCTCTCCTGCTGGCCCAATCCCCCACAACTGCCTCCCTTGCCAGCCCGATTGCCCCCAACTGCCCTCCCTTGCTGGCCTGGTCACCCTCAACTGCCCTCCTTTGACGGGCTGATATTGCCCCCAACTGCCCTCCGCTGCCGGCCGTCTTGTGGCGGCCATCTTGTGACAATGTCGCACAAGGGCGTTGCGCGACGCCACCTAGGCTTTTATTATATAGGCTTCCCTCATCACACTGTACTTCTTCTACATTGTAGATGTTTAGAAACCAGTTTTGAAATGAGTAACAAATAAAAAGAAATAGAATTCCTCGATCCCTCTCAATACATGGCTGTATGTTGCAGCAGGTTTAGCCATATGCTCCTTAAGCACTTTGTTATGGAGTCACATAAAACAGTTCCCGAGTCATCCCCAAATGTCCAGGAATGACCTCAAATCAAGATATCTTGCTAGTAGCATTATTGAAAGGCACTGAGAAGGCTCATTCATTCACACAAAACAAAGGGAAGAGATGAATATTTAATAAATGGATTTATTCACTTAGATTTGAGTTAAAAACAACAACTTGTCTGTAAACCTGGTTTTGGATCCAAAGGGAAAAAAGTGGTCAGAACACTTACGTTTGTATATATGTAGGACCACTAATTCCCAGGGCATCTGAGAAGCAGGGTGAGACCTGAGCTTTCAGCTCATAAACAAAAGCCTCTAGTCATGCCAGACTCCCTCTGAAATTGCAATCATTTGTTCAGAACTTTCTAGAAGAATGTCCTTTCATCAGGCAGAGCAGTCAAGAGGAGAAATTGGTCAGGGGTAGCGGCACCTTCAACTCCATCCATCCCACCGGCACAGCATCAACACGCACCTGAGGTACCTGGTGGGGGGCGGGGCTCACCGTCCTGAGAATTCATGCAACTTTTGAAGGCAGGGTTGTCTGCTCCTTTTAGAAAGCAACCCATTTAGATCATCCAGGAAAAAAATAAAAATACAGGGATAGCCTACAGCTAGATTACGTAAACCTTAAAGAGCATGAAGATTATTTAAATATGCAAATGAGGCATCTCTCCAGCAAATAATTACATCTTCAAGGCAGAATCCAGAGCGTGAGTTTGGCTGGAAGGAAACGCAGAACTTCAGACACACAGTTCCCCACCTAATGAATCACACAGGATGCACGTGCTGGAATTAAAACCATGGCAGCTGATGAGCACGAGTTTATTAGTACCTTTGATTTTTTTTCTTTCTTTGCATTTATACTTAACTGTTTTGAATAAAATGAAGACACTGGTCATTGCTTTGTTTTCTTCTTTTCAGGGAAAGAATTGGAGTGTGAAGTGAGGGAAGAGGCAGCGGTTGGGGTGCCTTTGGATGAGGGCAGAGGACCTAGTAGGGGAGGTACGTGAATACAGTGATGGAACATACACAGAAACAGCTAGAGACACACCGAGTGCTGTCCTTTCCAATCAGTCACCTGGTCATACCCAGAACTTATTTCCACAAGATTGCCATTGCCCAGCCCCCAGGAAGCTCTGCTCCCGAAAGCCTGGCCCCACCCCTCTGGGCTGCCAGTGAGACACCTCAACACAAGTCTCCCAGGGCAACTCCAGGCTCCTCTCCCATTAGCTTTCCAGGCCCTTGAGGACTGGTCCACGTGTCACCATCACCCAGCAGTCACTGGGAGGGCGTTGCTGCTAAATGAATGCTTCTTGAATTAAACAAGCGAACTGCCTTCAGATATCGGAATCATTCATGGAAATCGTGTGCAACAGCTAACACAATGAGCTTGACTTTGGTGGCTGCACTTTCTATTGTCACGCAGTGTTATTTCAATCCTACCTCTTTCACTTGTCTCCTTCCCCACGTAAGCTGCATGTCCCTCCCTCAGGGCCTTCACTGCAGGTAACAAGC